CTGCCCGCTGAAGGAGGAGAAGCAGCATCCGCAGCCGCCGCCGCAGCAACTTGACCCAAGTAAGTGCAAAAGAAATTGCCCCCTGATTTATTGCTGAAACCTGTAAGGCTCGAATGTGCAAAACTGATAGTTTTACTAACCTATAAAAACGTCTAGCCGCCTACCCTGGGCTCGGTGAGCAACACGCATCCATAAAAAAGCTCCCCATAACCACCTACCCCGGGCGCGCGGCGGGCGCGGCGGACGGGCGCGGGCACGGAGGCCTTTTATGATAATTCCCCCAAGTTGTGAAAAGCGACCATCCTCGGTGAAATTAATTTAACGACCTCTCTTCCCCCACCCTGTCGCCTCTCTCCACCTCCCCTCCGCTCCCCTTCTCCGAACCCCCCTCTGCACAGACAACCCCGCCGCCAACTGGATCCACGCTCGCTCCACCCGGAAAAAGCGCTGTCCCTACACCAAATACCAGACGCTGGAGCTGGAGAAGGAATTCCTCTTCAACATGTACCTCACCCGGGACCGGCGCTACGAGGTGGCAAGGATTCTAAACCTCACAGAGAGACAAGTTAAAATCTGGTTCCAGAATCGCAGGATGAAAATGAAAAAGATGAGTAAAGAGAAATGCCCCAAAGGAGACTGACCCCGCGAGGCGCCGGCAGGACCGCTCCGCTCTGCGCAGGCGGTGGGGGTTTTCTTTGTGGGGGCTTGATTTCCAGAAATTCTCCAGCGATTCGGACATTTTACCCTGTTTTTAGGTAGAAGTGACTGTGTGGTTGGTCTCTGTGAGGTATTTGGGGGGGGGGGGACTCTGTATTTGCTCGCTTATGTGTTGGAGAAACCGAGTGACTTTGGGGTTTCTCCCTGCCCCGAGCCCTCCCTTTCCCGCCCCTGTTGGTTCCTTAGGAAATGCTGTATTTTGTGAGTGCACGCGGGCTGGAGCAGCTCTCTCCTTCGTAAATGTCCCCCGTGTTTCTGAAAAGCGCTGTCGTTGAGCCCCTAGCGCTGCTCAAGCGGGGGCCACACGCGCCTCACTTCTCAGAATGAAGGCAGCCGACGACATGCGGAGGCCCGAAGAGGCCCCGGCCGGGTAGCCCAACGGTTTTGAAAAGCCCCTTTCCTGGGGAGCCCGCGGGCCCTTGACTGAGACCTGGAAGGAGGCCGAGAGAGGGGCCCGAGCCTCCAGTGGGGCTGGGATGGGTGATTCTCAGTGCACCGGAGGAGCCGCCGTCCCCGGGGGAGCTCGGCTCGCGTGGGCAGCCGCGGGTGTAGGCCCTCCCGGTTCCTGCCTGAGGACCAGTTGTAAATGTTATTACCGCTTCCTACCAATAAATGCTGACCTGATCAAATGGAGCCCAGACGCTGGCCCTGAACGCTGTGTGCCTGCTTTCTCTGTCTCTGCAAAATGTCACCCTCACTGGACGTCTCCCCCATCCCTGGGGCCCTACCGCCTCAGCGGCCTCTCTGATGTGCCTCCCAGTCCCCCTCTGAGTGGGTAGACCCAGCCTAGAGCACAGCACCTGGGTGGCCCTTGGCGGCTGGTTCCTCCCCCAGTTTGCTTCCAGCACCTCGGCAAACTCTGCGCCCTGGACCCAGTGTCAGCCTCGCATCCGTGCCCAGAGGAGCCGCAGAGCCCCAGAAGCCAGGCACCCTCTCGCTGGGCCTTTGGCACACAGTACCCCTTGTCTCCCTCTGCTCCAGGAGTCCCAGCCATTGACACCCCCACCCCCACGAACAAGGGAAAGGCCAACTCCGCACCCCAGAGCACCTCCTCAGTCGGCCGGCCGGCTGACTCCGGGAGGCCCTAGCCGGTCGGGCTGTGAGCTCCCACCCCTCCCCACTGGAGCCCCAAAGTGACCCTAGCAGATCAAAATGGTCAAGGCTCTCTCCCGCAGCCGCCTCCCCC